TGTATTTCAAGGCCAGTCAATGCGATGACGCTGAATTGTTTGGCAAAGTATAAATTGTTTGACATTATCTCGTCGTGTATTGACAGCAGATGTTGACAAGGTTGGGATGCAAAATGCGTACTTTGTAATCATCGCTGATTCAAATCATCACATCAGCCGAAAAATCAATTAAAAAGCCTTTATGTTTTGCGATTGAACATTCGACGGATAGCTCAAAATTCAAACAGAAATTGCAGTTTTATTATATGCATTAATTACTGCGTTCAGTCAAATCAGGTTTGCGTTACAGATTTCCAAGATTAAACAGTAACCAACAGTAGCCATTTATATTGTATTTTTTTTTGGTTGCCTTTTTAATACTGTACATATGTAAAAATGGCTCTGTTCTTTTCTTTCTCTTCCCGCGCCAAGTTTTTACTTAGTGTGGGCAGGACACCTCACTCAGAGGCTTTTGCCCAATATGCCACTTAACCGGCGGGGCAAGAAGTATGAACTTTGTCCTGAAATTAGAGAAAGAAATTGCAAGTGACTCATCTTCTGATTTCTTTTCTCTCTCCTGTTTTCTCTCCGTTCTTTGAACAAGTCTGGGAGTAGTGCATGGTGTTGGGGAGACGATGGGAGCAAACGGCTGTCAGGACATTCACAAGGCCATATTGAAAGCCGAGAGGGCTACTGACTAAGCCAGGTTGACAAACAAATGTCGAATTAACCTGAATTTTTAGGAAATGATCTTGTATCTTGGCTCTGAAAGTGAGCGAGTCTGCCGATGAGTGTGTTATATCATAAGCCCCGCCCCCTCATCCCACCCCTTGGTACAGAAGTCCACCGGTTGTATAAGCGGAGCCAGCAAGATTAACGTGGGACTCAGGTGAAGCAGCACAGTGATCATTCGGTTATGTGTTTCCAGCGATCGCTGAGTATTCTTTGCAGAACGCATGTGTGTCTGCTACCGAGGTCAGCGGCAGGGACCTTGGCTAATGTGGACATTGACGTTCGGCTCGGTAGATTCGATAAGACAGGAGTGATAGGGCAATCAGGGATTTCTTAGCGCTGTATTCTTTGACAAGAGACTGACAGCACAACGAGATCTAATTGCTGCCTGTACAATGTCTCCACCTGGATTGAAAATGATATTGTTATTGTAGTCGTTGTTAATCCCAGAGATTCTTGATTGTCTAATAATCATAATAATAATAAGACGTGAAAAGCGCTATATCAAATGCAAGGATTATTATTTATTATGCATTAGTATTATTATATAATAATCAAATGAGGATTTGGGGCAGATTTTTTTTGAAAATTCGCTTTCAATTTTGGCAATAAAAAGCAATACCTTTTCTTTTCACTTGTCTCATTCTCGCTCAAATGGTAGGATTAATGCACTGTTTTTCATTAAAAGGAATATTATCCGAGAGAGACTGAGCGACAGAGAGATTGAAAAGGAGATGAGAGCATCGTGCATGTTGTCTGCACATACGCAGTCACTACATTTCACAGAAATATCCCGTGAAACCTTTTGAGATGTTTTGATGATGTGATCAGACATGATATCGAACGCAAGGATTGTTATTTTGTTATTGCAAGTGCCGGTTAAGCTCTAAAATCAGTGCATCGTGCTGCTCTCTCGGTTGTAGTTTAGGCCTTCTACCCAAGGTGAGGTCTGGGTTAAGCTGTTGGACCACTAGGTTGTGACCTTCCGAGCACAGCCAAACCTTTTTCAATTAGAAGCGTAATGCATTGGATGATACATTGGACCACTGACTTCCTGCAGAATTGTATCATGAATAAAATAATAGATGTACAATTTCATCTTATCAAGTACTGATAAAACTTATCATCGTTCCCTCTCCGTTTTAATACAAGAGAAAGGTTTCCAAAATCTAACATTTCTTAATCAACCTTCTAAATGAAAATGGCTTATAAAGCTTTTATAAACCCTTTTCCATTATGTGGTGCATTAGGTATTCTGTAAAATTGTCTTGTTAGCCCTATTATTTATTTAGTGTTCATTTTGTTATACATGTAATGGATCTTTCAGCTTTTGACTGTGTGAATTCACCTTCAAAATTATACAAGGGCTAATTTTCCTCCAGACTTTGCAGCGATTTTCTCTTGAAACCGCTGACTCTTTCTGGTGTTAAGTCACCAGATTCCCTAACTTGCCTAAACGGCTAATGTTTGTGGGTAAGAGTAGGCAGTAAGAGTTTCCAGATTATTCAACCCTGTGATTGGGGAGCGAAACAGTCATCACAGTTGGATCCGATCCTATCCACGCCCAGAGTCAACAAACACCTTCTGCAAAAGATCACAACATGAGTTCCCCTCCGAGATGTCTTCTCTCAAGTCTCTCAAGTCTTAGCTTATCTGTTCATTGCTCATTGCTCCAACAGTGAGGATCATCCTCGGTGATCTCCTCTGCATTGCCTTTCAGGTCCGTTCAGCCCCCTCTACTTATGTCGTGGTGACCATACCTACTTGCGGAAACGTCTCTCCAAAGTGATGAGAAGCCCTCCTGGATGTGCCCCAGTTAATAATTGCCCGGGGACGTTTATAGATGAACGTTTATTCCATGAATTGTCACTGAAGCATAAGGCCTGTTGGCAACAGGATCAAAGGCACTGCCTGGAACTAAATAGTCTTTGTATGAAATCGCTTAAATAATAATAATAGTAATAATAACCCTTGCATTTCATATAGCGTCTTATCACGTCGTTGAGACATCTCAAAGAGCTTCACAGAATATATCATTAGGTGAATTGACTATATTCTTTGGTCTCTAAACTCAAGGGTGGGAACACTGCAACAGGTATCGACTGGGGCAGGAGCAGGAAATCCTGCAATGTGATAATGTGACTCTTATTGATTTACCTACACAGAGCAACTTTATTTTTAACTTTATCTCTTGGTGCTGGAAAGCTTCATGCTCAGGAGGTAATTGATCCCATGTAACTTGTTTTTTTAGCAGTATAAATTCATTACTAATTCTAGTCAATGCAACACAGCACAATTTTATTTCAGATTTATATTTGCTTCTGTGAATATAATATGGAACGTCTTCGCATAAACAAAACAACCAAAACTGGTATGTCATCCGCATAATAAGTGGGTTGGCTGATGTGAAATAAAAAAAAACTGTGGGAAGTTGAAGAGACGCACTTTATTTGCTTTAATTTCACCCTGTCTTAGCTGAAGGAACATTTGGTCTCAAAAATTACTTTCACACAGAATTGGGGGAAAATTCGCAATTTGAAAGCTTTCTTTTTAAGCAAAGTTCAGAAAATCGGTTTCCACGTTGTGACGGAATTTAAGAATTTCTCCCAATTCCCCACGGCTTAGGTTTGAAGGCAAACGGTTTTAACTGGCGAGGTCTAAGAGTTCTGCCATTGGAATAGCTAAGTGTTTCTCTCTTCTCCTCCGACGATATATTATTGCAGTACATTTACTTTAATAGATACTTTGCACACTGAGTGATTCACATTTAATGCAGTAATTGCTAATGCTGTAAAGCAATGCTCTACAGTTTTAGCACACCCAACAGCACGGACTCAGTAAAATGCGTGTCAAGCATGGGCTATTTAGCCAGTCATGGTGACTTTGTAATAATGAGGTTTTAATGCAGCAATTAGTAAATGCTTTCGATTGTGTTGTGATGGTACTTGTGTTTTATTATGCCTGCAGCTGATTAAAGCCAGTCAGAATATTGACATTCATTTTACAAACACCTCTTTTTCTCAGGGGAAAAAAAATCGGAATAATGTCCTTCTTCCAGAGGTTCGTGCTTCTTAACACAATGCTTTGGTGATTTGCGCATGTGTTTGCAAGTACCCTCCTCCACGGCCAAACACCAGCCTTTTTGGAGGTGGGGGTGGGGAGGGGGGGGAGGGTTGATTTGTTTGCAAGTTTCTAGTACTTATGTGCTTCTGGGCCATTTATGTATTAAGCGAGCTCCTGCTCCAACGAGGCACCTTGTTGTGGGGTGATCCTGTTTTGGATAAGTATGATCAAAAGTAAATAAATGTAAATGTTAGTCTCCTCTTTCTGGATGCCGAGGTTTAACCTGAATATATAGACAGTTTAACATCTTATCCCAAGCTTGGCAGCTGTGGTGATGCATTGATCTCCGCACCCAAGGTTATCTATGAGCCTTGGACTCACAATCTCCTGACCCAGAAGCAAGAGTGCTAATAATTGAGCCAAGGTAACACCTACATTGAAGGTTGTGTGGTAGAACTCAGTTTTTCTGATTTCTGCCAGATGATACAATACAGAATTACATTTGTATAGCGCCTTTCGTGTCGGGAGGACATCCCAAGGTGCTGTGACTTGATGCTGCTGATTGTTTTTTTGCTTTGATTTTAACTGTTTGCTTTTCTCTCGACCAACGGCAAATTTCGCGCTTAGAGAACAGAAAAGAGAGTCGAAAGGACAATCATAAAAATATTGTATCCATATTTATTGTCTGTCTAACGTTGTGAATATAGCAATATTTGATCGAACAAATCAATCAATCAATCAATCAATCAATCAATCGTGTACCTGTTCCTGATCAGGTTTCTTCAAATCAGTCCAAGCTCATATTTTTATCGGACACCGTCAACTGGCTCAATCATGCACCCATCAATCCTTCTCAGAATCAGCAAATCCAAGCAGTGTTATTATTCGAGGTACTCTGATAGATCTGCAAACCAAGAATCAGTCATCGACACCGCGGTCTTTTCTGCTGCATCAGTAAAATTGCAGAGTCTTAACTCTTCAAACTAAATGATTTTACAGAACCAAGACGTAGTGTAATTTTAGGCAGTAATCAGCAATGATATACATTTATATAATGTCTTCCAGTATAAAGGACACAGTTCTTGGAGCTCTCCACTGTGTTGGGGTGGAAGTTGAGCCAGGGAGAATGGGGAGAGGGAGGTGACTAACGGCACGGTCTCAGAGGGAGTTTAAATCTGTCGATGGTTCTTTTGGTTTAAAGAATTGTGGCTCGTTTTCTTTTTCAGGATATTCCTTCACCGGGAGCGTATGACGTTCACGGTGCCTTTGACAGGATGCAGGGAAGAGGACCCTGTTTCCTCGAGGATACAAAGTGTGCGTCGTTTATGAGTACTGAGCCAAGGGAACTCAAAATTGGGTTAGGCAGTCAAGGCATACCCGGTAAGTGTTTGGCAAGCTATGTCATGATATTATTTATTATTTCACACGCATTGCTATTGCCTTGCTGTGGTGTCCGTAATGGCCTTGTTATTGTTTGAGTTTTACCCGGACAAGAATTTGAAAAAAAAATCTATTCTGATCATTAATTAACAATTAATTCAAGAGAGTTTGAAATAAAATTGCGCCCACTCATTTTATGGGCGGAGAGCTCACATTAATACTTTTGTCACTGTTGGTAGGAATCTCTGTAGAACATAGTTTCATTGTTTTCACGTACTTCTATTTGCTCTCTTTACAACATGGAGTTGATAATTTTTTTGCACCATCAAAATGTAAACTGTTTTAAGGTTTTTTTTTATATTCAGGTGACTCTTCAGATGTCTTTACAATTGTTGAAAATCTAAGCCACGTTGGAAGTATTTTAAGAGGATACATCTATTTTTGTCTTAATCTTTGTCTCGAGCTTGACAAATCTCGTTCGTACTGTTAATTGTACAATAGAAGTGAAAAGTCTTGCCTCAGCAACAAGGCACAATTATCCTTTACCCACTGCAAATTAGTTTTGACGAGATCATACATTAGTTACTTACACAGGGATTTTACAGTCAGAGCTGCATCAAAGGACACAGTCGAAGTAACACAATAATAAAAATAATCCTTACGGTTGGTATAGCGCTTTTCACACGATTTACTTAAAGTGCAGTGAGTGCGTAATGTGTGCACTAACTCGACAGCAAATTTGGAACCAGCAAGGTCCCACAAACAGTTGTAAAGGGAATGTAATCAATTTTATTTGGGGGGGATTGTTGGCCTGGGCACCAGTAGAAACTCCCTTCGCTTTTCAATTTGTGCCATGAGAACTTTCACATCCATCTGAATAGGCAGATGGGACCTCAATTTAAATCTCATCCAAAAGACGACACATCCGACAATGTAGAACCCCCCCAGCGCTGCATTTCTCTAGGGGACTGTTATAATAATTGTGATAATAATAATAATAATCCTTGCATTTAATATAGCTCTTTTCACGTCTTCTCGACGTCTCAAAGCGCTTCACAGAATATACTGTAAAGTGAATTGACTGTATATTTGCGGACGAAACGCTGCAGCCAATTGTGCACAGCAGCGTCCCCACAAACAGCTGTGGATTGAGTGACCGAATTATTATTTTATTTTTAAAAATTTTTTGAGGGATTATTATCAGACGTGTGGAGTAAGGAAACTTGCCCAAGGTTTCGCCCTGCCGGGAATCGAACCCAGGTCACTCGCTTGCGAGGCGAGTGCTTTAACCACTGAGCTACAGGACTCCACTCGAGTTTTAATATTGTCATGGGGTCATTAATGTCCTGAAGAACAGGCAGGGACGAGGGTTTCATCTTAACGTCTCATCTGAAGGATGGCAAATCTGAGATTGCAGTCAAATGTAGAATGGTACACAAAGAGGAAAAGATAATGTCTTAACTTTCAACATCCTCCGCACAAAATTAGATCAATCACTCTCATTCCCCATTGGAGTGCACTGTTGTACCCAGCATAGGGCTTCACTCAACTACAATTCCTAGCTGGGGATGGGCAAAATATTCACTTAGTTGAATAATACTAACTTTCACTATCGAAGATCCACAGAATGGTGCAGGGTGCTTTAAGTGCACTGATCTGTAGACCTTGTGCAATACTGAACAACATCTATCTTCCTTGTTCTTGTTGAAGACCAGGATCTGTCTTCAGGAGGTCGGTTAGACCTGACTTTCCTGTTGAAACGCACGGCCAACCCTGCCAACCCCACAGGTGCAACAGACAGAAAACTGAGAGCAAATCCATGTGATGAGGAATACCTCGCTGGCCTTGCAAAGTATTATTCAGACTACTTGATGAGCATCATTTAGCCTTTTTTTGTCTCAATGGCCTTCATCTCCCATCAGATGTCAGGCTGCGTACATGACTAGGTTTCAGATTGACATCCTGGCTGTCGAACGTGCCCAACCTTTAGATCACAACCATCCAGCATCTGTTGTAAACACACTGGAACCTTTAAAGTTTTCCACTAATCGCGCTTGCAATGTGAAGTAGAAAATGTTTGCTTGTTATTGTGCTGAAAAGTCCCGTTATGCCAATTTTAAAGGGGATAGGATAAAGGGTAGGGAAATTGGCCTGAACGGATGGCTCTTTTAAAGAGTTGGCATAGAGACAATGGGCCGATGCTTCTGTGGTTTAAATTAAAATTTGAAAGACGGAATTCGTCCTTTCTTTATTTCCTTTTTGTTCTACAGATGCCCCAGATTTCCTATCAGTCAGAACCAATCAATTATGTTGTGTTGCGCGTCCTTCTCGTTTATTTGATTTTGTGTTAAAAGGTGGAGGAAAAATCCTAACGAGTTTAAAGTCATCTGATACAATGGGCTCACCCTTTCTAGGATGGAGCTCTGGTCACTATCTACAGCTCAATGTGCATCTGGGTTCAAAGGGCCAACTTGTGCATACATTGAGAGAGTGTGCTATTAATGCGCTATTAGGTAAGAATTGAGACATGACCACAAGACTAAGCAGATGGTAAATGAGCTGGTACTGTAGTCCCCAACGATGCATACTAAAGCGGGTTTAACCACTTTAGCCATGTTCACTGATTGGAATCGTCCCCGACCGAATGATGACAGCTGCAAAGCACAACTAATGGCGGATCCAGTTGCTGATTAGTGTCTGTGCCTTCCTCTCCTGAACAAGTGTTACCGGGTGTGCCATTAAATCGGATTAAATGGTCAGCTCCATTTTCGAATGAAAAAATAAAAAGGAGTGAGCTCCAGGGGTATGGGGAAAGAACGGGTAAATGGGACAGAAAGGATTGCTCTTAAAGGAGGAGCACAATGGGCTGAATGGCCCTCATCTGTGCTATATATGTTTCACTTCACTGTAAAAGGATAGCAAGTTTTTTTAAAAAAAATGGCATCTGATAGGGTTGTTTAGATTCAATTTAACACTTCCTATTGACAACAACAATTCACATGTATGCATCTACAACAACAACTTGCATTCACACAGCACCTTTCATTCGGGGTAACGTCTCAGAGCCCATAACAGTGTACGGAACCTAACGCTGTGCCAAGGAGAGAGGGGAGGTGACCATAGGCATGGTCAAAGAGGAAGGTGTTTAGATGGACAAGAAGGGGGTGAGGCAGTGGGATTGAGGCAGAGAGATCCAGATCCTCCGCTCACCGTGGCTGAAAGCATGGCTGCCGATTGTGGAGCGGAGGGGACGAGGGGTGTGAAGGAGGCCGGAGCCAGCTGAGCGAGGCGAGCGGGTACCAAAGTGGGATCTGAGCACGTTGAAGTAATGGCTAATTCATCCGGAGGGTCACAAGGAGAGACTCGCGTCTCTTTTCAAATAACGCCGTCATTCTTTTCCACCCCCTGAACAGGCAGTTGGAGCGTTAGTTTAAGATCTCATCTGAAAGATGCCACTTCTGACAATTCAGTGCTTCTCAAATGTTGCACAGGAGGGTCCAGTCTGGACTGTGAACCTAAACCCCAACCCATGGTGCACGAACCCGCAATCTTCTAACACAAAGACATCCCCCACCCCCAGGTCTGTCAGAGTATTGAACAATTTGGCAAGAACAGGCTGTGGAGCAGTAATTTGGGACATTTAAAAGAAAAAAAATCTCTCTCTTTTTCACTCGCTTTGCCATTGAAAGCATCAGTTTAAAATAGTTGGTAAACGAGCAAATGGGAAGGTGAGGAGAATTCTTTTTCACGCACAGAGTAGTTAGGATATGGAATGCGCTGCTGGGAGTGGTGGTTGAGACAAAATAATAATAATAATTCCTGCATTTGATATAGAGTCTCGTCATTAGTCTAGACGTCCAAAGCGCCTCATAGAATATACTGTAAAGTGAATTAACTGTATATTTGTGGGCGAAACGCGGCAGCCAATTGCGCACAGCAGCGTCCCACAAGCAGTCGTGGGTTGAGTGACCAAATTATTATTGTTTTTTTTTTTCTTTGACATCTCAAAAGCGCTTCACAGGATGTACTGCGAAGCGGATTTACTGGGCACTTTGTGGGTGAAATGCATTAGCCAGTTCGAGTACAGCAATGTCCCACAAGTAGCCATGGAGCGGGTGACCAATTTTATTTGGGCGATTTGTTGGCCAGGACACCAGGACAAACTTTAACGTCCACCTAAACAGGTAGATGGGACCTCAGTATAACGTGCATCGAAAGAATGGCATCTCCGACAAGGCAGCACCACCCGACACCCCCCCACCCCCCCCCCACCCGCACCCTCCCCCCAGCACTGTCTTTGAATGTCAGCTTTAGACTATGTGGGGCTTGAACCCGCAACCTTCTGTGCCAGGAATTTCGTTGGTTCTATTAGTCTCAGGTATGTCACTCCACTGTTTTATTTTTCCTGACAATTAAGCCCGATTCGTGGACAGAACTTCAGAGAATGACAAGCCGCCCCACCCCGCCCCCCACCCCCAGGCTGACCTGGAGTCCAGGCTGATCAAAGCCACTTTGTAAGCTCCTTGCCCTTGTTTAAGAAAAACGGATAAGTGTTCACCTACAAATACGCAGTCAGTGCACTTTACAGTGAAATCCTGTGAAGCATTTGGAGACATTTGGGTGACGTGATGAGACACTACATCAAATGGAAGGATTATCAATATGTTTTACAATACTAATTTTTAAATCGTCACGGGCAGCTTCTTGGAGGAACAAATGCGCAATGTTAAAAAAAAAAAAACTCCAGCTGTGTCATATGCTTGTTGGCTCGATGGGAAACTTGAATTATGTGGGAGAAATTCAGGCTTGAAGTCGTTAAAGCCCACATGTGGTGCATTGTGAATAGAAGACAGGGAATCTTACCAAACAGTCTGACACAAAGAGGTCATTGTTAGAAATCTGTCTCATTGGCTTCTTCCGTCGGTAATGGTCAAGTTGTAGTGGGTGTTGTGTAGATATTATACTGTATTGTGTTCATCTTGAGCTTTTCAAAAAGGTCT